TGTGGATTTCATAACGTAAACATGATTGAGTGAATCACTGGCCACCTGATTGAGCTCAATCTCTAGTCCATCTCCCCTCCTTGGAGGTGGAGCTGTCCCAAAATTTCAACCTTCTAATTATGTAATGGCTCCCAGCCTGAAGCCATGTAGGGGCTCACCCTGAGTTACTTCATTAGTATAACAGAGACAGTCTTACCACTCAGGAAATTCCAAGCCATTCTGAGCTCTGTACCAGGAACTAGGAAAAAAGAACAGATGCGTTCCTTATACCACTCAAGGCGACTGCCCCTCCTTGAGGGCAGCCTGCATCCAATAGGCTGCTCAAAGGGAGATGTGAGCTTAGAGTGAAGGCATAATTGTCTCATGGTGGAACATCTCTGAAGAGCCATCTGGCTCCAAAGCTCCTCTGGCATCAGCGGTAGCTTTTATTACAGTTTAAGTTCTCCGATTATCAGGAGGCATTGACGTGGAAAAGCAATCTCCAATAAACTTTCTCCATGCCTGCCTTTTTTTACTCTACTTCCAAGGTAATCTAACCTAAGACAGTTTTCATCGACTGGCAGGATAAAATTCAGACATCTAAGGAAACAAGATCATTCATGTGCTCGCTACCTAGTTATCTAACATCAATTTGTAGAATCTTTGAACTTTACACTTCCGCCATATTGAATTTCACTCTAAAGTCCCTGAACCCCTGTATTTAGCTGGTGAGTTGTGTTAGCTGGTGCGCTGGGTTAATGGGCGCTCTCCAGCCCTCTGTAAACTATGCTGGCTGCTTGCTGCAGGTGGACTACTCATAAAGATCCCCACACAGCTGTGCTTCCCCAGTTGTATTAGTGCACGCCTGGAAACAGTTCTTCCCAAAATGGTTTATGCTAGCACTTATTGTCATTGCCATAGTATAATTTAATTTAAAACTACATAAATCAGTAAAACAGGAAGATAAAAAAGAGATTGTTTCTATGAAAACTAAATTGAATGTATTAAAAAGGCTTGACAGAGGTGAATTTCTGATTATAATGGCTCTCTAATTTGGATGAAACAATAATAAAACAGTGAGAAAAGGGTATAACTCTTTAGAAAATGTTCTCAAGAAGCTTGTTTCCCCATGACTTCAATTTCTCACTCCACTTGAAGAGAAACAATAATTCAGAGGGTACATTAAGGATGTATGTTACACAGGAGAAAAATGTAGAACAGTATATATATATATATATATGATCAAGCAAAGTTACCCTTTATAAAAAACTGGACAAACATAAGTACACTTACATGTTTTAATGTAAGATGAAATGTTTAAAGTACTTGTGTCTTTCTTTAATAATAACCTGTGTTAACCAGCAGTCTGAACCTGAACCAATCAGGCTCACATCACATGAGGACACCTCCACTGGGCGCTCATTCCCTCAGGCTACCCACTGCACTTCTGTCTAGGCCTTTCCACACATTGCTCAAAGTCCTGAAAGCTCTCCCACCCTTTCAAAACTCAGCTCAGCCATCACTTCCTTCAGGGAGCTTTCCCAGACTTCCTAAGATTTCACAGGCTCCTCCTTGCCCTCTGGATCATCTCATAAGTACTCGGGGTATTGCATTTGTCTGCTTATTTGTCTTCCCCATAAAACTATAAGCAATGCCTGCCTCTCAGTCCTCCTTGCAGAACTGTGCTCAGCATGGTCTGGCACAGGGTCAGAATTCAATAAATATTTTTTCATTAATAAGTTCATGCATAATTTGTCAATATTCCATTTTCTTTCCATAAGAAATTTGCACACAAACCCACATCCCCCTTTTTTTTTCTGGCTGCTGTCCTCTCTCCCTTTACATAAGAAAATGAACTTGTAGATGTTAGGGACATTTGCAGATGGTAGAAAGTGAAGTAAAGGTAACTGCGAACTTTAGAGAAGAAACTGGAAAACAGAATCTCGAACATTTACCAACAATAGCCAAGAAAGGTAATTAACACAGGTTTTATGATAGCATCCTTATAGCATTTTTAAATTAATGAAAAGGAATTGCAACTTACCTCAATGAAATGTATCTTTGGAGGAAAAAATATATATTGATGGGTTTTACTAGCTTGGGTTAAAGAAATATAGACATAAGGTTATTTCTCCCTATCTTTCTGTTTTTGGAAATAAAGCCCAAATTGTCCCCCATGAAAATGCCCACAGCTGCCAGATCTTTTTTCTTTGATTTTTTTCTTTCGTTTTTTTATTCCTATAAATATCTTGAGAACATATACGATGGTTATAATAATCCTCATATTCTAATTCTATGTAATCAAATTCATATAACGGCCCTTTAGTGATTAAGGAAGAAGATTACACTTCTTCAAGAAGAGAACTGACCATTGCCTTCAGAAAAAAAGGTGCAATTTGTAATTTACTGTGACGCTAGTAGCAAACTGCGTTAGTTAATCTGCCCTCCACACACATCATTTCACCACTTCTAGGGGGATCAAACAAGTTTTGGTGTACTTTGTGTAGAACTGGTTACCTGACAATACATTTCTATAATAACTGAAAATTTCAGTAATATTCTTGACAGTATTGCAAAGTCAGTACAACGACATTGTGCCAACTGGATTTCAACTGGAAAGTAACTAGGAACCTCTGTCATTTGTGACTCAGTGTTTTTTAGTTAGCAGAATCCTGCTGGCTCCCCTCCTCCCCTTCCTCCAGTAGAATCTCCATTCAGAAAAGATGCCACTGCAGGAGGTTAGTGGCAATGTCCCAAGCAGAGATGTGCACTTACCTACTTATTATGAAGTCCGAGGTTGCTGCTCTACCAAGCAGAACAGAGAACAAACAAACAAGAACATTAATAACAACAACAAAAAGAGAATTCTTCAGTTTCTCAGCATTTAGGGAATTTCTTAAGAGTTCAAGAAAAATCCTCAGAAGCCGTACATGTTTTCAATTCAGAGTTACTAATAGGAAGAGTTAATAAAGACTTGTAGGCCGGGTGCGGTGGCTCACGCCTGTAATCCCAGCACTTTGGGAGGCCGAGGCGGGCGGATCACAAGGTCAGGAGATCCAGACCATCCTGGCAAAGACGGTGAAACCCCGTCTCTACTGAAAACACAAAAAATTAGCCGGGCGCGGTTGCGGGCGCCTGTAATCCCAGCTACTCGGGAGGCTGAGGCAGGAGAATGGCGGGAACCCGGGAGGCGGAGCTTGCAGTGAGCCGAGATCGCGTCACTGCACTCCAGCCTGGCGGACAGAGCGAGACTCTGTCTAAAAAAAAAAAAAAAAAAAAGAGTCGTAGCAGATGCAGCCAACTTAGTGTTTGCCTGTGGAAGGAAACCAGGAGTACCTGGGAACTTGGGGGGTAGCCCTTTATCCACAACGGAGTGGGTCAGTGGCATAAATAATCGACTACTTGGTGCCTGACAAAGTTCCTTTCCCTGGGGCCTCTTTGGTAGCATATTTTGATTGGTCTCCTGCCCTTTTCCTCCCAGCTAGGGTGACCAACCACCCTGGGTTGCCTGGGACTACACCCGCTTTAGCGCTGAAAATTCCACATTCTAGAAAACTCTTGGACAGTTGTTCATCCTGTGCTTTCCTGATCCTGTACCACCACATCTCCTGAGAACGCTCCCCAATAAGTTGCCTTCACAGGAACCCTAATCTCGGGATCCGCCTCTGGGAAACCCAAGTGAAGAAAACAATCCTTAAAAACATTGACTACCTAATCAGAAAACCTCTTTAACGATCTGCATGTCACCAGTACAACAGAGCACTTCAACAAGCAGAATCGGCCCTCGAAACACTTACAAGGAAGGGAGGTTGATCTCTTAAGATGCAAGCAGACCTTGTCCACTTTTCACCACGCCCACTGCCACCTCCGACTACCAAACCATTATCATCACCTCTTGCTGGGACAACTGCAGTAGCCACCTTGGGTCCTTCTTCTGCTCCTGTGCCTGCAGTTTATTCTCAGAGTAACTTAGCTAAAATATAATCCAGTTCACGGCACTTATTTTCACAAACCCCTACAGTTACTCCTTAGCTTACTCCCAGTAAAAGTGACAGTTCTGCTGACACGGTGGCTTACACCCGTAATCCAAGTACCAGAGTACCAGAGGCTAAGGCCAGGAGTTTGAGTCCATCCTGGGCAACATAGATAAAAAGAATAAAAGGGTTTTTTTGTGAGTACTTTTAAAAATTATTTTTATTTTTGTTTTTTGAAATGGAGACTTGCTCTGTCACCCACGCTAGAGTACAGTAGCACAGTCATAGCTCATTGCAGCCTCGACCTCCTGGGCTCAAGCAATCTTCTTGCTTAAGCCTCCTGAGTAGCTGGGACTGCAGGCATGGACCACCACACTGGCTAATTATTTTTTTTGTTAGAGATGGGGATCTCACTATGTTGCCCAGGCTGGTCTTGAACTCCTGGGCTCAAGCTCCCCCATTGGCCTTCTAAAGTGCTGGGATTACACGTGTATGCTACCACCCAGCCAGAAGTTTTTTTTAGTAAGAAAAAGTGAAAGTCCTTACCATGAGCCCATGGTTCCCCAGTAGGCTGCTCTGACCTCTCCTTCTGTCTCACTCTGGCCACCTGGATCTGTGCCAGATGTGTCAGCCCACCCGAGGGTCAGAAGCTTACTCTCCCCTCAGTCTGGAAGGTGACTCACTTCTTTTGGATCTTGACTCAAGTCACCACCTCAGCAAGCCCTCATCTGGGGTCCCAGCTAAAAGGGACATGCCCTCTCCTCCAGGGGCAGCCAAACTCTTTACTGCTGCCACCTCTCTTTTTGCACCACTCTTTGCCTTCTCTCCTTGCATCTGCCCTGCAGGGTGTAAGCGCCCTGAGGGCAGGTCTGTCTGTCTGTTTGTTTGTTTGTTTCATTTCACATATTGTTTATTTAATAGCAATACAATGAAGTTGCATTAAATTAGAAAAAACTTAGGTAAAATGTATGATTCCTTTGCTTCAACTAAGACAGGTGCCCTTGTACATGGATTTCCCAGACACACAGCCAACTTCCTTCCTCCTGATTACCTGTGACCAGTGACAAAGAAAGGCATGACAGGGAAGTTGAAGGACCCACCTGGATGCCTCCATATGAGAGAACTTTTAGTGACATTTCAAAAACTCACACTTCCACTTTAACAATTAAGAAACACACCAATCCAGCCCAGAGGTTTGTGTACATAGTGAGGAAACACGGGGGAGGTGGTCAGGAGACTGCAATAATTATCCTCCTTCACACACAAAAGAAGAAATATGTCCTCAGATGCAATCAGTGTTCCATTCTTCCTTACCCAAAATTCCTCTCAGACTCCCAGAGACCAGTCCCACGAGTCAACCACATCCAGCACCCAGTAGTGTTTCCCAGAGGAGAAGCCCTGGGCTCCCAATGCAGCAATATAGTCAGATCTATCAGAATTCAAAGATCCATCTTCCTGGTCACATCTAAGCCACAAACTTCCCATATCCTCAACCAGCCTGGTACTGCGATTGGTTACTTCATTACTGAGGGAAATCTCCACCGTGGAAAGAAGATAATGTTCCAATCTAATGCCGTTTATAAATTCCTTTTTTAATGTACTAGCCAAAATTTTATTAAATACTCATTATTTACCATGAAAATACATTAATGGGCAAATCATCACATAAATCGTTTTATTATTTTTATTCTTTCTTAATTTTTTAATTTATTATTTTTTCAAGTTTTGTTTTTTGTTTTTGTTTTGAGGGCGGATTCTTGCTCTGATCGCCCAGCTGGAAGTGGCAGTGCATGATCTTGTGGCTCCATCTGCAACCCTCGCCTCAGGTCAACGCGATTCTCTGGCCTCACCTCCTCTGAAGTCCTGGGAATTACACAGGAGCCCCGCCAACCCACGCGGCCTAATTTTGTATTTTTTTTAGTAGAGATGGATGGTTTCACTGTGTTGGCCAGGCTGTCCTTCGAACTCCTGACCTTATGATCCACCCACCTCAGCCTCTCAAAGTGCTGGGATTACAGGCATGAGCCACCGTGCCTGGCCTATTTTTTAAATTTTACTTTAAGTTCTGCAATACATGTGCAGAGTGTGCAGTGACTCTGTCTGGTGCCCACCACTCACCCCAGGCCTTGAGAGTGCCAGCTCACAGCGGATGCTGTCATGACTGGTGGTTGTTCTTTCTTGTCTCTCCATCCTCCTACCTCTGCTGACCCTCTTGAGATGAGGGTATGGCGTCAGAGGCCCTAGCTGAGTCCTCACGTGGTTGCTTGCCAGTGACCACCAGTGATGCACACAGCTGCTCCTGCCCCATGCCTGAGCAGCCCAGGGATGCAGTACACTTCCCTCCAGACATCCCCTCTAAGGTGAACAGGAGTGCAGTTGGAAAACAATAATCCACATCAAAACAGAATATCCAATGGAAGAAAACGAAACTCAAAGCCATGTGGGTGCATTTGGGCAAAGTCAGCAGCAGAAACATTGCTCATCCCAGCCCAGAGGCATGCACCTTTGATGACATCTTAGACTTCAGGTGTAAGACAGCCACAGCCCAGCATAGCGCAGGGCTTCTCAAAGTGAGTTCCCCAGACCAACAGAGCCAATATTACCCGGAACTTGTTTAAAATGAAAGTTATCAGGTCCCGCCATAATCCCTAGGTCTACTGAATCAGAAAGTCTGCGGGTGGGTCCAGCAACAGGTGTCTAGACCATCTAAAGCCCCCACAGGAGATTCGGACACACTGAGTCTAGAATCACTGGCCTCACAGGTAGTTCACATTGGGAATTATCCATCTAGAAAACTCTTACTAAGGTTGTTTCATTGCAATCCCCTAGACCAGTGTTTCTCAACCTTGGCACTATAGACATTTGGGGACGGATAATTATTTGTTATAGGGGAGTGCCCTGTGCCTTGTGGGATGTTTAGCAGCATCCCTGGACCCTCCGTGCTAGATGCCAGTAGCACCCCCTCACCTCTACCAGTTGTAACCAGCAGGTCGATCGCCAGGCTTTGCCAAAAGCCTCTTGGAGGACATAATCACCCCTCATTGAAAATCACTCCCTTAGACAATACTTGGAAGGCAAGAACAGCCAGTGGCATCCGTGACGCCACTGAGCCTGCCAACATCAACAATTGGTGGCAGCCTCCCATTTTCAACAGCTTGATCCCAGAGCATCTGTTGCAGGTTGGGCTCCCTGGGAACAGACTTTGAGATTGGTATGCAGGAGGCTGAGCGGGCAGTTTGCACAGGAACAACTCCTGTACGGGTGAGGGAGGCAAGAACAGCCAGAAGGAGAGATTGGGCTGTGATACAACTGAAATGGAGGCTCCACAGGGAGCTCTGGAGCGGGATGGCCCTGCAGAGGTGTCCCAGCAGAGGCACAGGAAAAAGCCCTTTACAGCCACGCCAATTGATCCATCATACCATAGATCACATGCTATTTCCTTGGGCGTAATTGTAGGTGAGCTGAATTCCTTCAGCTGTGTCAGTTCTCAGAGAGGGACTGAGCTGTGAGCTGTCAGCAGTAACACACCAGATATCAGCACACGCGTCCTGGGTGACGTGCCACGGAATCCACAACAGCATCTGATCTCCATGGAGCTGAGACTTAATCTTATCAGAACACCTGTGACTCCAGTGTATGCTATTAAGTGCTTAAATCCCAGCCACAGTTATCTAAACACTTGAACAAAGAACATTCGTTCATTCAAATGATATGTTTTTATTCTAATGCACATTGTGAACAGATCCAGTAGTTCATACTGTATCCCTCTGTGTTCCACTGGAGCGATCCTTGTTCTCATAAAAAAATATAATCTGCGGATTTGTCCTCCCCAGAGCTTCACCAAGGAGCCGGTGTGAATCAGGCCCAGGGATTGATTTTCTGGCTCTGATATGACTCTCCTCTGGAGGAGCTAATTAGAGTTGAGGAGAAGGTTTCTGGGTGTGCAGAGTCTCATCTTCTATTTGGTGTCTGTTCAGAATGACAAACAATCGAGCAGTAATTAGCACTTGTCAGTTCAGACCAGCCCTGCTCAGCCAGACACGGGACTGAGGTCTTCAACCTTCAGACGCTGTACTGTCTGCCTCTGAGCCAATCAGAGTGGGCCCCGTGTTGTTCCGGAAGTCAGATTCCTCTGTAAGAGCCCCTGGAATCTGTCTGTTCTGCTTCCCTAAGGCAGATATCTGGATATTTGTGTGGGTCAACATGCCCTCAAAGAGGAAGTCTCCCTCTCATTAATCACTGTAAGTAAAAATATACATAAATGAAAGCTAGCATAGCATGTAAAGAAGGAAATGCCTTTTATCTTTTGTCTTTTCAGGAATTTGCCCCCAACACAAACCCTTATCTCATCACCTAGCACCATTTCTTGAAATGATGAGTTCATGTGGCTGTTTCTACCCCAGAATATACGCACTTAGAGGACAGGAGCCACAGACTTATTTCTGTTCCAATTGTGTAAGTTCAGGAGCTGGTGGGTAGGAGTTAGGGGGATGCCAGGCTGAGATAAGAGAAGACAAGAGAACTGTTAGAACCTCACACAGACCATGTGTACAAGATTTTGTAGAAGCTGTGGCTCCTCCTCTATTTGGACTCACAAACAGCTTTGTGAATGCGATTCATTTTCCTCCCCACCACCACACTCACTGAACTTATCTAAGTTTGCATACACCTTTAAGGGTTTCATCAACTTCAGACTTCCCACCCACTCTGAAGTCCAGGAAAGGATTCCAAGCCCCCAGACAGAAGAGGTACTTGTAGCTCCTCTTACCTCTCCCTGGCAAGTGAACCACCTAACTTTCTCAGAGGCACACAAGAAGATAGCAGTTCATCCACTTTGTGTTACGGCTGCATAAAGTTAACACCAAGACACATTCTGTGGAGTAAGAGTAGTCAAGTGTGACATGCGACTTCCATCACTCAGCTCTCAGCCTGCATCTATTTTTGCCTCAGCAATATTTGGAAGAGCAATGGCCTGTAAATATATATAAGTGCATAATGACGGAGTTTCATAGACTATCAGTTGCATGCGTCCATTTTCATAGAATATAGAATGTGTTATGAAAACCTTTAGAGGTATTTTCCTCCCAACAACATACATTTTAAGAAATAAAAAAGTGGGCAAAATGAATATTGACTCATATACCAACTGATGGCAATAAATATACTCTTCACAGTATACAGGTATTCAATCACATTCCAAGCATTCATATGACAATACGTCAAGTCTAATCTCTTAATAACTCAGATCTTAGTTGAGTTTTCATTGTTAGAGGAGAAAAGAAAACGCTGCTTTGGACTCAGGATTTGACGTTTGGTTGTGGCTTACACATCTTTTGACAAAGTTTTTCAGGTTGAAGTAAAATTGTTTAGAGAATAAATCATAGATCATTTTTACCAGGCTCATCACCTAAGAAATTCTTCAATATTACTCCCCCATTCTCCATTCATGAAATCTTCTCCAAGATTCCTTTTTACCTGTAGAATTCTTACTGTGATGATACAAATACTGGCAATTTTGCCCTGGAAAAGTCGAGTTGTCTTTCAGGAAGGCCATAAATTCAACTGCCTCCAGGAAGCCATCCACAAATGTGCAATCCATCCACCACTCTCTCTTTAAAATTCCTATAGCACCTAAAGTTCATAACACTCCTTTAAATACTTAATTGTATAAAACTTGGTTTCAAGTATGGGTAACGTCAGCGCCATCCATTTATGTACTTCCCGAAGGCTGAACTCCTGGCTGTGGAATGTCCAAATGTGTGACCCTGAGCAAGTCCCATCAACTCGGAACTTCAGTCTCTTCCCTGTGGAAGTCCCATTTCAGGGATATTTTAATGATTGAAAAAATGTCTCACCATTGAGAAATTTGTCAGGAATGGACAGTAAAATCCACAATGCTATCAATTTATTTCATGAACAATAATTGTGAAATTCTTATCTGGAAGAGAATGCTTCAGTACTTACCAAAGTTGAATCAGTCATCTTAACTAAAACTAATGTTGTAGTGTGTAGTAACTGTCCTGGTAAGCACAGGCTAGAAATGTCAGACATTCTGGAAAGCTTCTACTCCAAATTCGAAAGATATTGAAACAAACCACTTATGGCTGGGTGCGGTGGTTCTTGCCTGTAATCCCAGCAATTTGGGAGGCTGAGGTGGGTGGATCACTTGAGGCCAGGAGTTTGAGACCAGCCTGGTTAACATGGTGAAACCCCATTTCTACTAAAAATACAAAAATTAGCTAGGCATGGTGGTGCACACCTGTAGTCCCAGCTACTTGGGAGGCTGAGGCATGGGAATCGCACCCCAGGCTGGGCAACAGAGTGAGACTCTGTCTGAAAACAAAAACAACAAAATAAATCAAAAACAACAACAAAAATAAAAACACTGCTTATAAGACAGTTTATGAAAAAATAAAATAATTTTTGTCTTAAAATGTGGTCTCTGGTATAAAGAGATGAGGCCAAATATTTCTGTATATTGATATCTGTCAGATTACATATAGGATTAAATACTAGAAAACATCACACATTTCTAAGAAATAGGGTCTATACAATGTAATATTATTCACCCATTAGAAGAACATCTTAGAAAAATATGTAATAACATGGTAAATATTAAAAATATATAACATGCACAGTAGAATTTTGTGTTTTTTAATGTATTAAAATCTGAAGAAAAAAGTAAGTAATTTTTTAAAAATACAATGATTAGCACCTGGTAATGGGAACTTATTCCTCATTTGCATCTTTTTGTATTTTACAAATTTCCACAATGTACATGTATCACTTTTATAATCAGAAAGGAAGTAGTAAAGATGTTCTCAAAAAAATGTGATACTCTCTGTTGAAAATACAGTTTTTAAATAAAACCTCCAGTTCTAAAGCGTAATTTTTGTTAATGGCAAGAAAAATGGTGAGAACATAAGGCTTTCTCTGATAGATTTTTTAAAAAACAGAATGTAATTCCCCTAATAGTCAGATTTTGTTTTAGAAATATGTTCTCCAACAACAGAAACCAGGGATCTTCAGGGTAATTACTGAATTCCAGGTCTAAGGCAGGGAAAGTACAGAATGAGCCTGGAGCATCTTAAGATGCCAGAGACTAAGGACATGCACAAACAATGACGCAGATGTAGCAAAAGACACAGGCGGCAGCTCAAAGGGCTCCCAACGTCCAAATTTGGGGAAATTTGAGCATGAAAGTAATTACAGAAATGAATTATGATCCATAGAGCGAAACAGATGTCCATGAGTCTATACTGATATGAAGAAAGATGGTAGCAGATAGATAGATAGATAGATAGATAGATAGATAGATAGATAGATAATAGATAGATACATACATACATA